CTATGTCGGGGAAACCAAACAACTGCGTACCAGAATAAGCGCACATGGAAAATCTATCAAAGACAAAAATACACAACACAATACAACAACTCTCTCTCCAATCTCTATTCTAATCATAGGGAATTTACAAAACACTTTTCATACATGAGCCTACAAACTTCGCTTCAGAAATCTACTGGATACAAAAAATCATGGACTAAATATAGACAAGGGATTTATGGCACATTATAACCTGCCTGCCATTGATAATCCCAGACAACCCATCTGCATTTTACCAGCTATAGTCTATAATCAGTTCAACATTCCCTCCTTTCCTCCCCCCCAACCTACCCGTCTCACTGCTATTGTCTCCCATTCCCTCTGATGCTTACTGCCACACATTTGCATTTTCACAAACCTGCATTGTGCTTTTTGGCTTTTGTTCCACCCAGGAGAGCACACAAAACACCAGCAGACTCCCCCTGTGCCTGAAGAAGGGTGTTTGTGTCCAAAAGCTTGCAAAGAACAATTTTTCCAACTATTTAACTTGGTCTAATAAAAGATACCACATTTACCCAAAGAACTTTGTCTGCCTATGTCCTTAGATCAACAAGGCTACAACCATCAACCCTGGAGCATGGTATTTATTTTTGCTGTGGTATATTTGGTGGAACATAAAGAGGCTTCCAATAAAATATTAAATTCAATCCTTCTTAACTAACATATTTACCCATACCCAAGCTGACTTCTAATTTAAGATAACCCCACCCCCAATTATTAGATGTTAAATGGGGAAAATGTATAAAGTTGTTATAATTTTTCTTGTACAGAATCTAATTAATGGAGGGGTGTCTTAAATTCTTCCTCCCTCCCCACTGCAGCAGTAGGGTGAGCATCAGCAGAGAGGCAAACAGTGGCAGGAAAACACGTTGCGGGGGGTGGGGGGGAGGAAGATGGGGGACAAGATGTGGGGAAGTCAAGTGATCTGACCCCCAGCCCTTGCTCCCCCAGCCCTTGCTCCTTGCTGCCTGCTCCCCTCTGTGGTACCCAAGCCCCCTGGCACCTGCCACCCACCACTGCCACTTATCCTCAACTGCAGCTCTGACTCCAGCTCTGGCTCTACTCCAGGCCAGGGCATGGAGCATATGGTGGGCCCAGCCTCTGCCCAGCCAGGCAGCAGTGGTTGTGGCAGTGGCAGCTCCAGCCCCAGCCCCAAACCTTATTAAAGCCAGAGCCAGAGATGCTGCCACCAGTGCTGCTGCAGCCTGGTCTGGCCAAAGTGGGGCCACAGCCAGAGCTGGAGCTGTAACTGAGGGTAAGTGGTGGTGGGAATGCAAGGCAGATGGAAGGATGGGGGCAGCAGTTATAGCTAAGACCCCAAGCCTGCAGCAGCCATCTATACCCCCTACCTTGTACTCAAATCCAAGATGAGGGGCTTTCTTTCCCTGATGTTGAATGGAGGGGGGGGGACCTCATCTTGGATTTGAGTAAATACAGTAATAAAGTGTATTAAGAAATAATGTTAGGTTGTGCTTTAAAAGGAGTGGTATTTACTCATTCCTCTTTTTCAAGGAATCATTTCAACAGCTATAAGTACAGTGAGGGGCTACAGGTGACTCTGAGGCAGATGCTGAAGTCTGATTTTCTCAGTCCCAGTCCCACTGGGGTAGACTGTGCCTCTCACACAAAGCCCTGCCTATGGGCCAGTCCAGAGCACCAGAAGAGACTGGTCAGTCTCAGGTCTGTCTGCCGCAGTGAAAGCTTGACTGGGAATCTCAGGGAAGGGAAAATGGCCCTAATTTCCTATTTGTTCCCCAGAGGAAACAGGAAGTGATTGATCTTTGATCACTGGGGCTGTTATTATGATCGACCATTGTATGAGATGAGCAGCACAAAGCTGGGGAAGATCCTGGCACACACCCCTCTCCATCCTGACCCTGCCTTTTCACGCACACCCTTGTGCACATGCAGGGAAGGTCGTAGTGCTTTGACTCCCACAGGACTTTTTCTGAGTGCGCTGACCTAAAGAAGCTGATTCTCCTCCCACCATGGAGTCAGTGGCAGTGTTTGCACTGAGCTTGTCTACACTGCAATGACTACAGAGTGGTGTAGAGGTACCTGAATTTGCTTTGAGCTACCTCGCTCAGATGCTGGCTATAGTCTGTCAACACAAAGTTTGGTGCAGGCAAATCTACCCTACTTTGAAAGCTATGCTAAGCAATCTGTTTTGGTGGCTAGATTGCTAATAGACAGCTAGTTTAAAGCTGGTATGCCTCACTCCAGTGGCTGCAGCACAATGATACTCTCATACTCCATCATGAACGATAACTTGTAACAACCATGAGATCTGCCTCATTTATCCCAGTGAGAATTGCAAGTACTCATCACATCTCCAGATTTAGCCCCAGGACTTTACCAGAAACCTTGGAAAAATGCTCTCTGTCTCAAAGATCTACTTCCAAAATACATTTAAAATAGGCCGTGCTGAATGAATGGCCTTTAAGCATACATTGTTCTCTCTCTTTCGCATTCTACCATTATATTTTCACTTGCACTTTTTGTATTTTTTTTTTTTAAATTCCCAGACCAAGTCTTATAACATTGCAGAAGATGTGCGGGATTCACCCGTAGGGGGGCCCAGTTGGTCGGCAAACGAGCCAGTAAGCAATTTTCTTATGAGGGATGTGAAGGGGCATACAATACTAGAGCACATGGGGCACAACCAGAGGAGGGCAGGTGTAACAGGGGGCCTTCTTGGGCCCGTCTACCAATGGCCCTGCCCACCTGTTTCTGAGGCAACCGCCCACCTTCTCTCCTGCCATGCCTTGTTGTTAATTAGTTAATTATCTTAATTAGGCAGGAGGCTGCCCATTTTCTTATCCCGATGCCAGGGGGTGCTATCTGCGGCTCCATACCTCCCCTACACCGCAGCCCATGCTTCGCAGATGGCATCCACCGTGCTTATCATCACCAGCCCCCACACTGGGCCCCAGAATCCTCTGACCAGGACCCCTCTTAGATCCCTCCATTCAGGCAGCCTACCCCACCCTCATTCAGGGCTGCCTGACTCTCTGAACCATTTCCCCTCTCAGGCGTGGCCCCCCAGGACCTTTGGCCACACAGGCCCTGGCATCACCTCCAAGGCCAGTCAGAACCCCAGGCCCTCAGCTCTGAGCATCCCTTGTGGTGGGCCCCTGGCCCTTTTGACCGGTCTGGTCCTGCCCCCAGCATTGACCAGTCAAGGGTACTCTACATCAAGGCCTCTGAGCCTCTAGCCCCACTCTCTCTTTGCAGCCTGTCCTCTGGCCCTATTAGCAGGTGACCCACCTGGTTATGGGAGCTGGGGTTAAGGTGCCCTGACCCTCTTTTCATCAGGGTGGTAACTGGCCTGGCATTTCCTAGGGGCTCCCACACTACTGAGAGCCCCACCAGGCCACCCACTCCTGGCAGGGTGCAGTTTTAGGTGATGCCCAGGACCAGGAGCCTCCTAGCCATCCCCTACAGCTCCTCCTTTACCTCCAGGATGATACAAGCAGCCTTGCAGCCAGGCAATATTGCTGCCTCCCTGCCAGCAAGCAATTGATCTGTTTATATAGGCAACCAAGGATCTAAAATGGCCACCGCAATCAAGCACCTGGTGGCTGCTTCGCTCAGGTCTTAAAGTGGCAGGCACAAACTAAACTGTGTCCTGCCACAGTAGGTTTACTGTGTCAGGACATGACACATTTTCAAAAATTCTTCTCTTCCAAAATGAACAAAAGCAAAACCCCTGGAAATTTCTTGCCAAGTAAAATTCTGAAAACACTTGTTTGGGTCAAATGAAATAGTCCCCATTGCTAAAAGAAAAGCCTTTTATTTAAATTTTGACCTTTTTTAACTTGTTAGAAATGTTTCTTTGACTATAAATAACAAATTCTGTTCTAAAAAGTAATTTTAGAACAAAACTTTGAAATATTCCATTTCACAAATGCTACCATAAACCATTTCAACATTATCAACGTGACTTGTTTCAGGTGTTCTAGATGAAAACTCATTAAAAGATGAGGCATTTTCAATACATGACAATTTTTATAAAAATTACACATTTAATCAAAAAATGTTTCAATAAAAACATTTTTCAACAGCTTTAAAAACAACCTTGCTAGCATAATTCCTATTTGGGTTAAAAATGGGTCTGAATTCCATATCTAAACCCCTCAAGTTTCAGAGGTTTCATAGTTGTTAGCATCAGAAGGGACCTCAATAGTGATTCTACTTGTTGAATTGGACCCAGTCCCTGTTTCTACAGCCACACAAACCTGAGTCCAAATTTTAAGAGTTCCAGAGTCTTACTCTTTTCTTCCGCAGTCTGGCACCCCCAAGCTTTTAATTTTCTTCTAATTTGTTCCAACTGAAATCAATCCATTTGAAATTTTGGATAACTGCTTGAATGTCAGCAATGGTATTTTTAAGAATGTTTTGGGATAATCTAAGACGCTGTCTCATGATAGGATGATTTGAAATGTTGATGGATTTTCATTTTTGCACAGTTGCTTTAACATTTTTTTAGTAAATACCATCTCTAAAAATGTCAAGCCATTCCAGAAGTCATTTATCCTATTAATCTCAGGAAAGACTGGTGCCTCTATTTAATTTGGGGAAGGGTGAGAGATTCATTTTTTAACTTGATTTACCATATTTTCTTAACTACAGTGTGCACATTGCTGCAAATAAATAGCTGCTGAATATCTCCATACATACTATATGCAAAAAATATGGTAAGAATGGTTTCTGCTCTTATGGGCAGAAGTAAAAGTAAAATCTGCATGCAACTCAGAGAGGAGAACAAGGGTCAGGCCTTGCTCCCTAGCTGCTGACACTCAGTTACTTCCTACAAGGAAAGACCTTTGTTCTTTGTTTTGTCTTTCGAAAACAAGGTGTGTGTTATATTCTAGGGCATGTTATATGTAAGGAAATATGGTATTTTGTGAGGTATTTTGTCAGGGAGTTCTCTGACATCTTGTGTTCTCCTGGTAATCTCCATGAAGGAGGAGTATCATTTTGAGTATCCCGAAGTCAGTACTACTCAAATTATGGCCCAGCACACACACCCAAGTCATCCAGCCTGGGGGCTTCCCGGAGTCCCAGAAAGTTGGCAGTGGGGAGGCAGTGCTAAGCTTAACTGTTGTATCTCTGGGATACAACAGTAATCCACATGGGAACAGTAATTAATTAATTAATTAATTACAACAGTAATTCCCATGGGAATTACTGCTGCCACTGCTCCCTGCACCAATATATTTTTGGACTCATGGACAGCCCCATGGAGCAGATGACACAATCCCATGTGCCAGATCAGACCAGTGTGCAGGCTCGGTTCTCAGCCCCAGGCCCAGCATGCAGTGCAGGCACTCAAACCTGGACTCGGCATACAGCACTGGGTCACGATCCCAGATCCGGCACACATGGGTGAACCCAGCACAGGGCCCCAGTCCTGGCCCCATCTGTCATATCTGGCCTGCAGACCAGCTGCACCCCACTCATCTGACTTGCATGCTGGAAAGGTTGAGCATCACTACGCTAAATAAGAGGCAGGAGAGTGAGGGCCTGAGTAGGACTGGTGGTTTGAAAATACTGTATCAGAGAAGCAAGGCAGGCAGTACATCTGTGCCCCTGCAGAGCAAACAAGCCTGAAGGGTCTCCTCATGGACTACTGCAGAGTTTATAAACACAACACAAACTTTTGCATTATATATAAAACCAGATGGGACTCCTGCTGATGTTATACAGGATGAGAGAAAGCACAGTTTACTACCACGGGAGACTTTATCTCTTCAGAGAACTCCAGAATAGGTTCTTGTTATCTGATATAGTGGGAATGGGTGATATAATAGCTAGGATATTCACTAACCCAGGTACCCACACTCAACAGAAGATGGTCTATCACAGAAGACTGGAGGAACCACTAGTCCAATACATACACCTACCTCTCTTTTTCCCTCTTACACAGAGGCAAGTTCTGCTGCCATGGGTTAAAGTGACCAAAAAAGCCAATAAAACATTGGGCATCATTAAGAATGGAACTAACAACAAAACGGAGAACATCATTGTGCTATTATACAAATCTATGATACTCCCACGTCTTGAATACAATGTGCAGTTGGTCCCACATCTCAAAAGTGATGTAGTAGAATTAGAAAAGGTACAGAGGGGGCAACCAAAATGATCAGGAACATTGAGCCGTTGCCATACCTGGAGAGACTGAAAAGGCTAGGACTCTTCAGTTTGGGAAGGAGAAGGTTGAGGGAGATATGACAGGTCTATAAATTTATGAAGGGCATGGGCCAAGTGAACAGGGAATTGTTCTTCACTGAGTCCCAGAATAATAGAACTAGGTGACACCTGCTGAAATTAGTAGGTGGGAAGTTTAAAACTAACAAAAAAAGTACTTTTGTATGCAACACGTAGTTAACTTGTGGAATTCATTGCCACAGGAGGAGCTGGAGGTATACCAGATTCAAAAAGGGACTGGATAGAATGGCCTGGCGGGCTCTATCCTGCCCACGGGTCGTATTTTGCCCGCCCCTGGCCTATTAGGATCATAGGAAAGTAGAGCTGGAAAGGACCTCACAAGGTCATGTAGTCCAGTCCCCTGCTCAAGGCAGGATCATCACAGACTAAACCATCCCAGCCAAGTGTCTGTCTAACCCGCTTTTAAGTTTCCAAACATGGGGAATCCACAGATGCTCTGGGTAGCGAGTTCCAGTGCCTCACCACCCTCATAGTCAGAAAGTTCCTCCTAATCCCCAACCTAAATTTCCCCTGCTCCAGCTTGAGGCTGTTGTTCCTGGTCCTGCACCTTATGGCCACAGAGGAAAGCCCATCTCTATCCTCTCTATAATCACCCTTCAGGTATTTGAAAACTGTTATCAAATCCCCTCTCAGGCTTCTCTTCTCTAGGTTAAATAACCCTAGTTCTTTTAGCCTTTCCTCACAAGTCTTGCCTCCCAGGCCCCTAATCATTGTTGTTGCCCTGAACTGGATTTTTTTCCAGTCTGTCCACATCCTTGCTGGACACAGTACTCCAGGGGAGCCCTCACCAGTGCTGAATAGAGAAGAAGGAATCACTTCCCTTGTTTGGAAGTAACACTCCTGTCAGTACAACTCAGGACACTCTTGGCTTTTTTTGCAACAAGAGCACACTGTTGGCTCTTATTCAGCTTATGGTTCACTGTACCCCCGGGTACTTCTCTGCAGTACTGCAGCCTATCCAGTTATTCCCCAATCTGCATTTGTGCATGCAGTTATTCTGTTCCAAGTGCAAGACTTCAAAAGAAAAAATGCCAATAATTATATTTAATTCATCTTGAAACTGCTAGTTTAACTGTGATTTAGTCTCACATTTTTTTAAAAGGGTTTATTTTCACCTAGATAGTTTTAGGACATCTTCATTTGTGGCTATAATGATTAAGAAGTAATAAAAGTCATGTCCACATGATATCTATACTTCATCTTATCTATTGTACACTTCACGTGGAAATCCCTTTCACCACCTCTAGCTAGCCTGGTAGAGTGAATTGCTGATACTGATAGGCTTAAACAGCTTTAGAAGAAGTAATTAGATATAATGAGTGGCAGTCTGTGTAGCAGATGGGGAATGACACTCAGATATGGTGATGTATTAGTTTGAATGTTCCAGGAAGCAGATGGAGTTTTCTTCTGGTTGCATATTGTGGCAGACAGAAAACTGGCCAAATGAAAACAATATGTGTGTTTTAAGGACTGCAACACAGCAAAGGTAGGAATCAGTCAGTTTTAAAGGGATGCCACGTTTAAAATAGCATCTGTTGATCTGTGTTACTGACATGTCTTAACTAAGAATTAAGGAAAATGCACCTGCACACACATTAACTAGTAGAGCAGTAGTTTTCAGCCTTTTTTCTATTTGTGGACTCCGAAAAAATTTTGAATGGAGGTGCAGACCCCTTTGGAAACCTCAGACGGAGGTGTGAACCCTTTGAATTGTAAGTGTAGGTATTCACATACTTTTGATTGACCATGGCCATCTTTCGTGGAGCCCTTAGACATAGTCTGCAGACACCCAGGGGTCCACAGACCGTAGGTTGAAAACCATTGTTCCAGAGAGTAAATTTGATTGTACTTTGTAGTAAAAGTAGAATAGATAATGATGCACAGCGTTGAACTGGTTTATGTCACTCCACTCTAGGATAATTACCTAGAAAAATAAATTGAAGAGTAACTATTGTACCAATTGTGTGCTTACTCAATTTCATCTCCTTTTGCTCAATCCATTCCAAATCAATTCTTCCACTATGTAGTGGTCAGACACTGTAATAGCACCGACTGCAAGCAGCTAGCTTGAAAGATCTGGTGAGCTGCCACTCGTCATCACAGAGGCTGTAGAGAAATCCCTTTTTTTTTTGGCAACCTCCCTACTTGGAGTCCGCCCTCCCCCCACCAATATTGTTGTTCCTGTGTATCCTACATAATAAGATTATTATTTATTATAATGATGTCAAGTAATACATTATTTGTATTACCATAGTGACTAGGAGCCTCATTTGTCAATCTAGACTAGGGGTATCAAACTCAACTGAGGGCCCCAGCTGGATTCAAATTTCAGGGCTTCTCACAGGCCAGATCCAGCCAAGGGCATGGGGATGGTTCCCATGGCCATCATGATGATGGCAGGGGGTATAGTGGTCCAACAGTGGCAGCAGCAGTGGGTCTGAAGAGGGCAAGAGGTTTGGCAGCAACAGTGAGTCCAGGGGAGGGGTTGGGGGCAGCTCTGCCAATGGCCAGCAGGGCCAAAGGCCTCCAAATTCTGTGGCAAGCTCCACCTCCCAACTTCTGGTGGTCCAGTGGTAGCCCAGGGATTTCAATAGAGCAGCTGTGTGAGTCTGATGTGGCCCAGAAGCCCATTGTTTAACATCCCTGACCTAGACCCCTACTTGTTGGTAGGCACTTTGAAAATATGGAGTATAAAGGATATCCCTGTTTCAGAGGTCTTACTATCTAAGGGAAAGACAGAAAACAACAGATGACTATAAACTTGTACATGGGACACAAAACACAATGAAACAGTATTGAAGAACAAGATGGACAGCAATTTCAGAACAGTTTCAGTTAACCAATGCCAAGTATTCTGTAGGCATCGAGAAAAAAGAGAATGTTAAGGAGGATTTAAAGAAGGCTAAACATATAGTTTTGGGCAGGTTTTTAGCAAGCTCTCCTAAGTGTGAAAACTAACAAGGGAGGAAACATGAAGGTACTTGTTTGAAAATCTGGCAAGCAAAAAATGGAGCTGATATCATTTGCCAATAGGAGGTGGGTTTCTTTATCTCAGTAGTGAATCAGAGATGATAGGGCGTGTTGGTTGTAGCCGAGTTGGTCTCTAAAAACATAGGCAGACAAAGTTATTTGGGTAAATGTGATATCTTTTACTAGACCAACTAAATAGTTGGAAAAATTGTTCTTTGCATGCTTTCAGGTGCAAACACCCTTCTTCAGGCATAGGGAGAGTCTGCTGGTGTTTTGTGTTCTCCTAGATGGAATAGAAGCCAATATGCAAAATGCTGGTCTGTGAATATGCAAATGTGTAGCCATGAAGATCAGAGGCCATGGGAGACAATAGGTGTGGGGGGAAGGGGGAATGTTGAACTGGTGACAGACTGTAGCTGCTAAAATGTAGGGAGGTTACCTGGGGTTATCAGATGTCAGGCAGGTTATAATGTGTCATAAATCCAATGTCTATATTTAGTCCATGATTTCTTGTATCCAGTAGATTTATAAGGTACAGTTCATAGGCTCATCTACAAATGGTGTTTTGTAAATTCCCTTTGAGGATAAGAACTGAGAGATTGGAGAGAGAGTGGCTGTGTTGTGAGAAGATATTTCTGGAGATGCAGAACGGTGATGGTTCACTTGTGGGGTGTGGTTATTGTGGGAGTGGTGGAGATACGTTGGCAGGTTTTACATTTCTTGTCCTGGCATGGTCTGGATAAAGTTGGTGTGCTTTGGGTCATAGGAAGTTTGCTTCTGGTGATGAGATTGGTGAGGTTCGGTCCTTGTTTAAAGGCTAGGATGGGTATTTCTGCAAAGATCTCTTTAAACATGGGGTCTTCTTCTAGTACGGGGTTGCAATTGCTTGAGAATTTTCCATATAGGTTCCAGGGAGACAACTAATGGTGTGCAATTCATGGGGATTTTCTTTTTGTACTGCAGCAATTCTTCATGTGGTATCCAAGTGGCTCTTTCAAAAGTGTGATCTCTCTCTCTCCACGACTGTCCTTTTTGGGTGCAAGCCCTTTTGCGCTTTATGAGGTAACGATCACGGGTGTTCTCAGTGCAAAATCGGTGGTATCGAAGGGCTTGGCTGCATATTACAGCTTTCTTGGTGTGTTTAGGGTGATTGCTGGCCTCAGACCATGCTGTCACCACTGCAAGATCTCATCCCCGGCTATGGAATAGCTCCCTGCCCAGCCACATGCCCTGCCAGTGCTGCTGGGGCTGGTCTCCATGGAAACCCTGCCCCCCACCCCACTGTCATGGCGCTGCTGCTGCTGGGGTCTCCACGGAAACTGGCCGCAGGGATGCAGGCAGGGGCTGCTGGGAAAAACCTAGCCGCCAGCTGGATCTGCCATTTTGCCAACCCCTGGGTTAGAGCCAAACAAATTCAGATTGGGAACAGTGGCAACATGTAGGGGGTACACGGGGGTGCATGTGCACCTCCTGAGAGCGCTGGTGAACCCCCTCACAGCCAGCGCTCCCCGCTTAGGCGATGGGCAGGGGGGCAGGCAGGAGGGCCGGTGCCTCCCGCGAGGGCCAGCCAGGGAGTGGGGGTGCCAGGAGAAGTGCCACTTCTGGGTGTGCAGTTGTTGTTTGGTTTCTCCTTCTGGGCACGCGGCTCACGCTTCCCAGTCAGCGCAATCGGCCTCGAGGGGACCCACCCCTCCCACTCGGTGAGATCAGCTGCAGAGGGACCCTCCCCGGTCGCTGACTGGTCGCTGGGGGGCACGTGTCCCCCTGACACAGGAGGCACCGGTTGCCCATGATTGGGAAACAGACATATCATTAACCAAGTGGGTGATTAATCATAGGAATAAACTGCCCAAGTGGTGAATCCCCCCTCTCTTGAAGTCCTCAAATCAAGACTGGGTGCTTTTTTCCAAAATGAGCTCT